GAAGCAGCAGTTATTACTTTGTTACAAATACAATTTATTTTATTTTTTTTTTCAGAGAAAAGAGTATTTTTATTTGAACGGTTAATTTTCTACAAAAATAAATAAAATCTAACAAAAAACCACTAAGTGGTACACTTTCCCCGCCAAGTCAGCAATCCAAAAAAGATAATAAATCATTACTTTTTCCGCAAAGAAAAACAATGTAATGTATGTAAGTTTGGCAACTTGGCGGCAGACTTTTGCTTGGTTTTTTTTTTCATTTAAGTTACGTTCGTGGATAATTTCACAAATCAACTTCTCTAATTAATTAGTCCAACTAAGTATAATAATTTCGAGGTAATCAGTAAATATAAAACCATCACTATTATGATTTTATGAAATGTGGCACAAATAAGGTCAAGTTTTGTAAAATAAGCTCTCACCTAGCAATGTACTAATGGGAGAGATACTTGCTCAATGAAACTAGTTTTATGGTATTTTTAAAGTGATCGAGCAAAAGTCTGCCGCCAAGTTGCCAAACTTACATACATTACATTGTTTTTCTTGGCGGAAAAAGTAATGATTTATTATCTTTTTTGGATTGCTGACTTGGCGGGGAAAGTGTACCACTTAGTGGTTTTTTGTTAGATCTTACAATAGGGTAGGAAGTCTTGTATCTAAAGGCATACAGAGTAGGCAATATGGCATAATAATGTATAGAATAATAGTCTCATAATAACGCTATCTAGTCCCCAGGAAGTAATACAAACTATAACTGTATTATCAAATAGAGTACTCTATGTGCTGCTTTTAGACTAAGAGCTCTAATATTTGTGTATATGATAATCCTTGTACCTTGAGACATGAAAACAAGATTTATTTGTATAAAATACTCCAAACTAAGTACAACAGATTGCTTAAAAGTATAATGCTGGATATTTATTGACGCTACTCTAAATAACACAGCTGTTTTAATCCTGTGTTTTAGTTAGTAATTTGACGTTAACATAAAAATACAATGAACCAGACATTTTATACCAGAACGAAAACTATAGTACAACTACCTTATTTTAATCCTACAGATATACAATGCTCTTTAAAATAGCATTTCATTTTTTTGCACTCGTTAATTGTGACAAGCTCAGGAGTTAACTCATAGTTAACTATATCATCTAACTTTGGCCATCGACTTTTATAGTTATAAAATGTTACTTAAATAAAAGCCAACTCAGTATGAGGTTTATTTAACTGAGTTTTATTGGCTTAAAAAACGGAAAATCGCTCATTCTATTTGACTGTAATTCTATTCGCATATATAATGTATACTTAAGTATCCATAATCATTGATGTTACCCTTAAGCTGTTTCGTCAGTTGCTTAAAAGTTTCAAAAATTGCATCAAAATATTTTAAATTAATATAAGCTTCAAATTATTTAAGATATGCACGACACAGGTAAATCTTGTGGAAACAGGAGGTTCTTTAAAGGTAAGCTATCTTGATTTTCCAAAAACATGCTGCGAATGACATGACTAATGCTAGCTATTTTTGGTGCATAAAGGTTAAGGAGTTCAATGGTAAAAGTTGGACGATAAAGGATTCGGTTCAAATGTAGGAATTATGAAAAAACTAAAAGCGGAATTCCGGTCATCCGTTTCCGGTCTTGTTGTCGGACTACAAAATCTCTTCTCAAACCCTCTCATTTCCGTTACTGTCTGCTCATCCTTCTGCTTAGGTTTAGAATATACTTTAATTAATACAATTAGTATAGAGATCTAGCATTGAACAAATATTAATTGAAGGTCAATTACACAATTATTATTGTTTATTCGTAAATTGATACGATGTAGGTATTTTAAAATACAAATTATTAACGAGCCTTTTTTACATTTAAAATAATGGAATAGGTAACGAAATTTTTGATCGACTTAAAGTTTAATAAATATCATACTTAACTATTGGACGACATGCTATGGTTTTGAATGTAGGCAAGGTATTGAGAGAAGTTTGCCATATCAAAGAAACGTTCTGGAGCTAGTGTAATGGATAGCAAGACTTTTGTACTTGGAGTACCGGGTTCGAAACCCGCCAATACCCATTGATTTTAACTATGTGTTAATTCCATCATCTAAATGAAATATTATTTCTTACTACTAAGTTATTGACACAGAACATATTTCTGCATTGCAAAAACTACTAATCTTCGTAATCTTGTAATGGATAGCAAGACTTTAGTACTTGGAGTACCGTGTTCGAAACCCGCCAATACCCATTGATTTTAACTATGTGTTAATTCGATCATCTAAATAAAATATTATTCCTTTCTACTAAGTTATTGACACTGAACATATTTCTGCATTGTAAAAACTACTAATCTTCGTTATCTGAAATAATGTAGCATGGTAAACTTCTTTGCAGTTTTATAATGTATTGAGTAACAACATTTACTTTTGGTCGAAATATTTCTTGCATTGTTTGACTAAAAGTGGGAACTTCCGGTTACTGAACAATAATAAGCTATGTAAATCATCGAGCTGCAAAAACAATGGGAATTTCATTCAAAGTTTTGACACCCGTTGAAAGACAACTATCAAACTTGGTGAAATTTGTTACAGTTTCGGATTTGTTATTCCAACTGCTCAGTCGACCAATATATATAGTAATCTTTTTTAAGAACTATTAGAGCTAAAATAGCAATTGCTAAAAAAATATTTTAAAAAAAATGTAAACGGGAATCAGTTAAAAACTGCACTATACGTTTCTGTAATCAAAATGCAGGTGTGATTGAAACATTAAGTAAGATAATCACTGCTATAACAAGTATTTTAGAAAATTTACATGTACTACCAAATTGGTTAGTATGACGACATATTCATTAATCATTTAGATTTAGAACCGTTACTTGAGATATTGAATTTGGTGAAAGCATGAAAGAAATTTCGAAAAGATAAACCAAACTTTGGAGTTTTTCGTTCAGAAAGATCAACAACGTGGATTGTATTGAAAGCGCTTAACTTTCATAAGTGTTTGTGAAAGTACCTTCAACTGCTGCGGTACTAAAGAAACGTAAACAAAATGCACTAAGAAATAAAACCAGTACAATAGTTATTTGTATCAAATAACTATTATTTGACTAGGTTAAATTAACTTCGTATATTTAATACAATTTATTTACCTTGTATACTCGTATGGCTAAGTCATTTGTAACTGATTTTGGGTAAAAAATAAAATGTAAATGAGGTATTCAAATACATGTTGTACGGAAATGAGTAGCCAATTAAGTCCGAAAGATCCGGACGGAACTTTTAGAGGTTAATGTAAATTTGTTTCCCACAGTAACTAAAACCCATATCAATTTATTTATTACATTATTTACATATCAATTAATTTATTTACAATCAGGTGAAGATCGTATTGAAAATTGTGTAGCATTGTGAATTACATTTTGTATAATACAGTAGATTAAAAGATCCATATTAAATTTTGTTGTGTCCATTACCCAGAAACTAGTAGTTCAAACAATTTAGATGTAATCATTAAAACATTTCACTATAAGGTGTTGAAAGTTTAAATAATTGATCCTGTTATACTTAGTATATTATAAATCACTAACTCGACAAGGAAAGCAATTAATGATGGATTGAGCTCGTTTGTGATTGAAAAAAAGGTTGAAAAAGAATTGAAATGTTTGAAACAACAAGGACTGAACTAATGCTATCGTTATACCATAACGTTTATTCGTCGACGATGTAGATTAAAACACAACACAAACGATGAAACAAGTTCAAAGCGGGGACAAAGAGATGTGTTTCAGTTGTAAACGTTATTCTTTTGACACAGATATGATCAATCATGCCACGTATGCGATTGAAATAAAAATCTTTGGGATTAAAATATAATACAATTTGTTTTGAGAATTTCTTTGCCGTATATTCAAACTGTTCCAAGTGGTGGTAAGAGGTATTTTTTGGGTACTTTCCTGTTAAAGGGAACATTCATTATTATCGATGATTTTTTCTCGATATATCGATATTCTTATTTTCCGATCCATTACAAATTGACAACAACTAACTAATCTTGTTTAGGCTAAAATATTCTAAGCTAACCTAACATAACCAACCAAACTTGCTGGGCCATTTAAAAATTCCGTTTGGGTTTGGTAATAGAAAAGGCAAGTTAAACACGGGATTTGTAAATGTTATAGCAAGTTTGGTTAGTTATGTTAGGTTATTTTTTTTAGAACCGTTTCATTTCATTATTGTTTGTTGATAGTGAACAATATTTATCGCGTAGTTGTCAGCTGATATGTTTCAATTTGTTAATATCGATATATCGAGAAAAAAATCATCGATAATAATGAATGTTCCCTTTAACAGGAAAGTACCATTTTTTGTCAATTGTAGCACTTTTGAGTATTCTTTCGTCCGCGATTTTTACTTCAAGTGCCTTTGTACAGTTAAATAATTATAAGTGAGAATGGTTTATGGTTTAAACCAATAATTAACAATTAAATAATAGGCATACTGTATTTTAGAAATAGTACAGAAAAAACAACTGTTAAGTGTTTCTTTTGTTTTTAGATCAAAACAGCCTTTTTTATGCGATTAGCTTTTGAAATAATTTTTATATGAATGTGTGTGTGTGTGTGTGTGTGAACTTAAAATATTTTTACTTCACTATTCAGCCCAACTAATTTTACACTAATTTTACAGCCCAAGAGTTCTAGTTCCTAAAAACATTTACGATCGCTCTGCACACAAACTATAAAATGCGTAAAATGATCGTTGGAGCTTAAAAAATATCGACAAAGGTAAAACCTTTCAAAATAAATCCCAACTGAAGAACTAAACAAAACACCTGTCTGAATTCTCTTTGAATTATTTGTAAGTGCACACTTAATTAAACCAATCGCTAGAATTCGTAAAAGATACCAATCGAGGCATAAGAACCTGCTTGTAAAACGGAACGGACTGCTTACTTTAATCAATATGAAGGAACTAAGGAGTGTTTGCGTCTGTTGCAGGAGATGAGATCATGGACAGTCGTCATCTGTTTGGTTGTGACTCAACTAGCCGAGCTCGGCTGTGGCAAGAGGTTCGACCCCGCCATGGTGGACCCTCTGATGCGACGGAGTTCCTTGGACAAGAACTTCATGAGGTTCGGCCGATCTAGTCCGTCCTACGAGGAGAAAGTGACGGACGACTCGCCAGGAGACGGCAAAGAGGACTTCCTGAGACCGATGAGAGGAAAAGACAACAACTTCATGCGTTTCGGGCGAGGAAAAGGTGACAACTTCATGAGATTCGGAAGGGGAAAACAAGACAGCTTCATGAGATTCGGCCGTGCGAGGAACGACAATTACATGCGATTCGGAAGAGCCAGGGACAACAACTTTATGAGATTCGGAAGAGCCAGGGATAATAACTTCATGCGATTTGGGAGAGGAAAAGAAGACAATTATGTGAGATTTGGACGTGGGAAGTCAGACAATTTTATGAGATTCGGTAAAGGCGTCAACTACGGGAAACAAGATAGTTTCATGAGACTAGGGAGGGGGAAGCAAGACAGTTTCATGAGATTCGGAAGAGACTTTATTCTAGACAATCCTAAAGAGTTAGAAAGTAATGCGGATGAAGCTAGAGTTGTGCGAGGAAAACAAAACAATTTAATGAGATTTGGAAAGAAATTTGACGAAGACTCGAAAAACGATTTACTTGAAGTCCCCCTGAACCCTAAACAAACTATCAGAATCGTAAGGGGGAAACAAGATAGTTTCATGCGTTTTGGAAAATCCGACAATGAAAACATTCACGGCGAGGAAGATTACAAAGATCCAAACGAGAGTGTGAACAATCTGTTGTCTTTGGAAGAACCGAAGGACGCAAAACCAAACTTTGATCTAGTAGGACTTAACAGTCACACATTAAGCAATCCTTTTATCAGATTCGGGAGAAGCTCTCCAGACGAGAACGTCCAGGAGTTGATTCCGCAAAGGTTGAAACGTTCTGTGAGCTACGAAGAAGAGCAAGAGGATCGAGCTGTTCCTTTCGTTCTACCAGATGACCTTGAGGAAGAATATGTATCACCGATTCGTCAAGAGGATTACAACAACAGGAAGAAACGTTCTTTGGTACATCACACTACAGAGTCTCCAGATTTAGATGATTCCGTTGTAGACTATATTTCTGCTAAACTTCGCCTCCGTTCCTCCGCACCTGAGTATGAATCTTCCCTCCTCTCTGCAGGACTTCCGAACGTCATCGTCGGTCCAGAGTTCTCCCTCCTGCCCAACCTCGACCCTCCGGCGTCCATGATGAAGAGGAGTCGCCCCGGAGACAAGAGCTTCTTACGCCTTGGGTAGAAACAGCTGACTTCTAAATTGTTACGAGACTGTTTGTATTTCCTCAAAGTATATTTTATTTTACCTGATTGCAGATTAAATATATGGCCGAGCATTTAAAAATACAGTTATTAAATTTCATATTTGTTACGCCTGTCTAGACTTTATTACCCTAATAAAGGTTTGTTGTTACTAAGTGTGTAGGTAACACCTTGTGTTGCTTAGTCTATGGTAACACTAAAACTAAACTAAATGGAAATTCTTCTTTGTTAAGAATTTACAGCATCATCTGCTTAACATTTTATGGTGGTGATAAAAAATATTACCAAAATAGATATCGATAACACAATCTAAAACGTTTAATTAAACAGACAATACTACAGATAATTTCAAAAACTATATTTAGGCCTTAACAGGCATCTTTGGAACCAGCATGGAAGCGCGTAGTAACAGTAAGTGATGGTTTGTCTTCTCACTGAGTATCCACTTAAAAAAATGTTTTAACTTTGTAACACAAACTAGACACTAAAGCTGCGATACTAAAAGGGGCTTTCACCCAACAGCTCATCGGACACAGCTGTTTCGTGGCCTACCTTCACATAGGGAAGTCAGAGAGCCCAGAATGTCAGTATGGTGACTACCATACAACGACGATGTACAGCATACCTTTTTCCATTGTGTAAAGTGGGAAGTAGTAAGAAGGAACGTTGAAACGATTGTTAGTCCGGTGTCGCTGTAAACACTCGTCCATTTAAAATTTACAGTACCGTAAAGAGGAACGCTGTGTCTGCATTCTCGAGGGGAGCATAAAGTTAATAGACCTGAACAGCTGTGATGCACCATAACCGTGCGGCAATGTCCACCAAGGAAGAAAATTAACAAGGAGGAATTAAAACAGCTTGTACACATTCAAACTTGCATATTACAAGAGACACGTAAGATTAGAATTCTTGTAGAGGATATAGCCAAGCGACTAGAGTCAAAGAGTTGTCCACCTCCGTCCTGTGATGGTGTGCTAGGAGTGCTCGGGCTGGCCGGCATAGCTAGTGCGTTGTATCACGTGTGGTGTAGGGGGTGCAGCTGAACCTGATGGACCATCGTAGCTGAAATACCGTCTCTGGCGTACTAAGTATATTGAAGTATTGCAAACAGCCTTTCCGAGAGGGTTACCATTGCCTAGAATGAAAGGTTTTTAGTAGGTAAAATTTCCACAGACCAGGGTATAATAGATCTTTAGACCCTGAAGTTCCACAAAGCATCTCCCTATTGTATAAAAGCCAAAAAGAGGCTCAAGTCTGTTGCTAGACCATCAAAGAGAAAAGTTCATCGTTTTGGGAATTTATTTTGTGTTTGACAGGAGAAACTGTACTCCAATGGTTAAGAACTGATTGTATGTCACGCGTTTAGTAAAATAAATTATTAATGTAAACGTTAATAGTTTACGATGTTAAAAACAGTAAAAAGTCAAAGAACCGTCTGGAAGACCTGTTTAGACATGGATCACCCACTAAAAGAATTTCAGCTTTTGTTGATGACACCTTCCAACTGTTAGTAAAAGATTTTACCGTCATACATTAGAGACGCTAATGACTTCCTTGAAAACATTAATAATACGAACAGACCATCTTGGTCACAATTGACGTTGTTTCACTCTATACAAACATTCTTACATAAAGAAGGAAAAGAGTCTGCATAAAAAATACCAATACAATTTTGCAGGTGACTCCAAATCTAGTGTAAACTTTATTTTAGATATAATCCGTTTTTTTAACATGGACAGCCTTGAGAAAAATCTTCTTTTGCAAACTTATTGGTTGAACATATTTAAGAACAGTTTCTAAATCCACAAATATTGAAAAAAAAACTTGTGATTCTACCTATGCCATTAACGAATTTTCTGTAGGAACCACCCTAAAGACTACATTGGAAAAACCACAAATGCTCTTAGAATTCATATGAATGGCCACAGATATGATACAAACCAGCCTGGTCTACAAAACCTGTGGCCTTTCATGCGAGCGAGATACCATTTTTAAAATTTGAACAGCGTGATTATTGATTAACCAAAAGGGAAAAAATAGCGAATGACTCATCATACATCGGCTCATCAATTAAAACTTGTATCTAAAACACCATCTAGTCTAAATTTGAAATATCTTTTTGAACCTTAAAAACATTTGTTGAAAATTGTGTCAAGTAAGAGAAATTTCCTTGAAACTAGTTCACGTTGTTTTATGAAGATTCAATGTTTCTCTTGGTACTCTATGCAACAACGTCCGGCATAAATTCCAGCCATAGTATAGTGTTGTGCTTTTACAACATTACGGACGAGAACTTAAAGGTTAATTTCCTGAATTCTATACAATGAAAAAGAAGGATGATATTAGTGTAAGATTTTATATTATATTACTTTACTAAATTCACGTTGAATTCCCTAAACCCACTTGACGTTTAAAATTCTCAAAAGTTTATTGATTGGGAATACCATAATCGCAAAGTTTTATAATAATTATTCCTAATATATTTTAAGTATACACTTCCTGACGTTTCTGTTTAGGTATGATGATGATTTGATATTATTGCAAATATCAACTCCATCATAATACGATCTTTAAAAATATGTAAAATAATGTATACTATTCATTCTGATAGCTCCTGGACTACGAATAATGACTTATATAGGCTTACCTCCGTCAGTAGTCCAAAATTGTGTCTTATTTCAACTAATTTTGTTCAAAGCTTACATGTTTCGTTGCAATGCAACATCGTCGGAGCTTTTTGTCAAAAACATCAAATAATTTAAACATATAACAAAACACGGAACACGAAACATTTAAACACGAAATAACACGATAGCGCTATCATGACACGGCACGACAGCGGTTGTAGGTAGACTGGACACGGGTTAAGTAACTTCGTCCCGTCCTTCTCTGTTATCAGCTGGGTGGTCAGCTGTTCCAGATGAGATAACAGTGTTGAAGAGGCTGTTGAAGAGGTGTTAAGACCGGCTTGGAAGTTCTACATTTTTGCGGGAAAGGTAATAAGTTGGACACACTTGAGGAGTATGAGATATATAAAATGAACGTAAACGAATAACACAAGGAATACATCCTCAATGATAAACTACAATTCAAGTCCCACTCCCTCTTCAACACTGTTATCTCATCTGGAACAGCTGACCAACCAGCTGATAACAGAGAAGGACGGGACGAAGTTACTTAACCCGTGTCCAGTCTACCTACAACCGCTGCCGTGCCGTGTCATGATAGCGCTATCGTGTTATTTCGTGTTTAAATGTTTCGTGTTCCGTGTTTTGTTATATGTTTAAATGATTTGATGTTTTTGACAAAAAGCTCCGACGCTGTTGCATTGCAACGGAACATGTAAGCTTTGAACAACATTAGTTGAAATAGAACACAATTTTGGACTACTGACCTCCAAGCCTATATAAGTTAAAATAATGTTGTACACTTTTTAATAAAAATCATATTATAAATATATACTTCCTATCATTTCTGATTATTGCACATATGAACATTCTATCTAAAAAAGTACGATCTTTAAATATATAAAAAATAACTGTGTACTCTTTCTTAATAAAACAATTTAAAAGATTATTTATGTAATTTATTTTTGTTTATTTCTTATTATATGTCTGACCTAAATGCCAGTTACATAACTATATTGAAATTCTAACCGATAACGTTTAGAGCTTGCAATATTAATTTTTACGATTGCTCATAAAATTATAATTGACTATCCGTTCATACTGATATTGAAGGCAATTATTCAAAACATGATGGTTAAGATACGATAACAGAATTAATATTCAAACTGTTATCTAATTTAAGTTCCAGTGGAGAGTGGTGAAGGCATATTTCTTTGACGGATATATTGTGTGGATCCTTTGAGGCTTGGTTACTCGTGCAAAGGTTCAATTATGATTTTCCTTCTAAAGCGTTCATGTTACAAAAGAGAGATGTATTCAAGTGTGAGATACAATTATAGTTACCGATACCACGTTTGGTGTTATGGATTTGTTTAACCCTTCAGTTAGAGTAGCGTAGAATAGATGAAACGTGGAACTGTAAACAGTTTATAATAAAAATTAATAAAATAATATAAACAAAATTTCGTAATAACTTATACATCAGGGACAATTTTTAACAATGCTTTATGCAACAAAATCTACTGTGATCCAAATATAATCCAAATCAAACTAAATACTATTTGGAATATCCTGGAACCTTCTCATAGAAAGGGCTGCTACTATTAAAATTTACCATATGTAAAGCAAGGAGATGGAAATTAACCTAACCTAACCCATAAGGCCAAACCTAACTTGTGTAGGGAAAGTTGTAAAATTGGCTGCCCTCTTCTTAAAGAGGCCAAATCATGTCTACCATAGCCCAGCCTAACACAAACTAACCAACAAATTTATTTATTTGTATGAGTTTTAGGTTAGCAATTCGGACCTATTGGGAATTCATTTGTGTTACAAAGGACTACAGTCAGAATAATAATTGTCCCATTCGACAAGTTTAACTTTTGCAACATTAAGCAAGCTTTTCAGAAAAGTGCCGCGTCTCCACTCTCATAGCTTCAGCATTATCTTAAGCTTTTTCTTGAGTCAGAAGCATTTAGTCACTACACTAAGACGGCAAAAACTTAGTACGCATTCCAAGTTAAATATATAAACACATCTAATGGTATGTTAAGATCTTCACTAAGATCAGCGTAGTACTGCAAACTTGTATCCTATTATGACCAAGTTCAGTGCATGTCTTATGTTAATCATCGAACAAGGCTCCTTAGTTCTATGTTGAGCCCATTGTAACACAAATAGATTGGCCTTCCAATTCCACTAATTTTACCGAATAGCTTGGCAATAACGTATTGACTTGCTGCTAGTAAATATGTTAAGTAAATCTGTTCCTATTTCTACATTTTAAAATCATTAAAACAGACACTTGTGTTTGTTTTTGTCACGCCCCTTTGGCGTTTTAGCCTTTTTTTTATCAGGGAACAGTCAAAATATTGGACTTTTTACTAGCATATCTAACGTGACCTTTTTGTTTAAGATTGATTGCATAGTTAAATAGTTACTCCAAGAAATAATTTAAAGATGAATTAATTGACAC